GTAGGGCGACCATGTACATGTATATTTAAAAAAATTCAAAATCTTCAAAATTGAAATTTTTTTCCCTGGCTGTAACTAGTGCTTAATGAGGGATATAACAAAAAAATTAAGATAAAAAATGGTTTAGCGGGTTTGTTTAGTTTGTGGGGAATTTTTGTCTGTTTATTCTTGTGGGTGTGTGTTTTTTTAAGTATTTGTGTTGTTAGTTTTATGTTTTTTAGTTTATATTTGTGTGCAGGGGACCAAAAGGAGTCCCGGGAGCAGGATCCCCAAATGAGTATTTATTGACTACTTCCTCTATGTGCCTTGGCCTCTCCTTCATGCGCTTCCTTCTTAGTGTTCTTGTTATCCTCAAAATTATCATTATTTGTAGTTTGCTAACCTCAGGTCAAACATCTTTTTTGGGTTTTTACTTTTTTCATTTCCTCGTGTGGAGGTTTATGTTTTCATTATTCTGTTTATACAACAACGACTTTTCCCTTACTATGCTTACACAAATTTTTATCAAAACTGCTTGTCCATTATTCGTTTTTTTGACTTTAAACTAAATTTTTTAAAGAACTGCCTTTTTCGGTCAGTAGCTTTTTTAATGCACGGGTTAAAAAAAATTAGGAATTTTTGGTTGATATTTTTTTTATGTTTAGGGGTTTTAAATCTCATTTTTTTACGATATGAGATATGTCTGGGGTTCGGCTTGGCGGGTTTTTTTTCTTTTTTTTTTAAATTTGTTTTTTACATTGAGAATATTGTTGCCTTACACGTGGGGTTTGTTTAATGATGAATTTAAAAAAAAAGGGTTAAAGAGGTTGCTAGAAAAAGATTGGGGTTTTCTTGGTGGGTGTTGAAGTGGTTCATTATTAATTTATCTGTTAAGGTTTTTGTTGCCTGTTTGAGGAAAGGGCATTTATCCATAAGCCTCAATTCAGAAATTGAATTTATGTAGCAGTACTTATTTAAATTTGAGAATCTAGAATGCTTTCAACAAACTTTGAAGTTGATAAATTAACAAGCGTTTTGCGCATTGGGTATCCATTTTGTATTTACTATAGGGAAAGACTGTAAAAGGGGGAGGAATCTCCCTCAGTCTAGGGTGGGAGATTATTCACTCTACATTTTCCCTTTTTGTCTACAAATAAAATACCCAAATGTTGCTAGTTTTTGATTCTCTGCTTGATTGTAATTTCAGTTTATATGAATTTTAAATATTTATGATATAGTACATCCATAGCTTCGAATACTTACAGGGAATCAATAATACATTTATAAACAACCATAAAGTGAACCTGAACACATTTTCTATTCAATTTGACAATTTGTTTGCCCAGGGAAGGGTGGGATGCAGTGTCTGGGCTAGAGATTCCTGTTTCCTGTCAGTTATTGTAGGGGAAGCTGAGTGGGGGGGGTAAGGGGGGAGGGTGATACCAGAACTTGCCTCTGCTGCCAGGGTGGGCAGACATTGTGAGGGATCAGTTTTTAGTGAATTGAGGAGACAGAGAATTCTTTTGTGATTACCTCTTAGTTTTGGTGAAAGCTAACCCTGTGCGCCCCCACTAAGTGTTGAATTTATAAATTTGTAAAAATTTCTTTGGGGTCCGAAATTTACACATTACTTTTTCTTGGATTTCATTCCACATCCCATGTTTGGTAGTTTATTGGTGTTCTCTGGTACTGTTAGCTTTCTAATCCCGTAATTTTTTTGTAATATATAAAACAATCTTGCAGTATGTGATGGATTTCTTCAAGTTTTGTTTTTTTATCCATGTGACAAATTTTTCTAATAAAAACACACACACACTTTTTTTTTATTTTTTTCATATAATGTGGGCTAAGTTTGTAATTTTCTGTTCATCCTGAGTCTTTTTAAAAAGAATTTTTTTTTAAATTACTCAAATTTAAATTTTTACCCCCACCAAAGCTTGTCCCAAAGCTTCTGCACCCCGTGTTTAAATGCAAATCAAGCAGCCAAATAAAAAATAAATATTTTTGGAGAGTGTTTCCTAACCTGTAACAAAGGGATTAAAATTTTAGGAGAAAAATTTTGGGAATTGTTGTTTAAAAAGTCATGAAAGTAAAGTTTAAGGGTAGTAATCCCACCATCCTTTTCCTTTAAAAAGTAACCCGTTTTTCGCTATTTATATTTCGTGTTATTCTGGTAAATACTGGGAGTTTTACACTTTAAAAATACAGAATCTTTTTTAAGACTTAGAAATTCCGGGATACATGACAGGGGGTCTTTTGTAAGCTGGTAACAAAAGCTCCTATTTTAAACTTTTATTTAGATTTCCGAAATATCTTTAAATTTTTTTTAAAATTACCCCGGAGTTTTCCTTACCTAATTTAATCCTCATTAGTTAAAAAAAAGAGCTCCCCAAAAATCCCAAAAATTTTATTTTTAAGGATAGAAAAATTTTGGGACATCCCAGAAAGGCGGAAGGGAAAGGGGTAAGGTTTTTAGTGAAGGGCTTTGGGGATCCAAGAATTGTGTAAGCATCGAGATTGAGTGGTAGACTTTTTTTTGGGGGGGTTGGTGTGCGTTATTTATATTAGGAATTTGATTACGAGGGTTTGTTGTCATTCAAAAATGATAATTTAAAAATTTTTTTTGGGGTTTTTTTCTGTAAATCATAATTTTGTTTAGAACTTGATGGTTATTGATCCTTGGGCATTTTCCTTCAAATGGAATATTGATATCCTCGGACTGGGGTCTTAGGTGGAGTTGGGCAATTTTGGAAAAATACTTTATAACTAACCCGTACAGTAAATCCCTTTAGAGTTAGCCATATTTTAAAGGGTTAAAAATTAGTTGTGAAGACCCTTAGTACATTTGAGCCGTGTCCTCATAAATAAATCAATTACTAAACTTATTTTTTTGACCGTTGTCATGATGTTTTAATTGCAACATTTGGGGGGGGACATCCATGCTTGTGATACTACAAATGATCATTTTTTTACTTTATGGATCGAAGACATCATTCAAATTTTGAAAGGGGACAAATAAATTTAATATCAAAGGTTTATTCTTCAAACTTTTTTTTTTTTAATTAGTGGCACTCCCCCTAAGGCAAGTGACCCCAAAAAAGGGAAAAACATTTACCAACATTTATTCGTGCTGTCTTCCAGAGGGGTGCCATTACAATTCAGATTTCCATCTGCGCATCATCCCCACCCATTAGATGCCAAACTTACCTTTAAATACCTTTCATTCTTTAAAGTCTTGAACAAATGCAGCAACCACTCCATCCATAGAGGAACCCTCAAAATAAGGACAAAGGGGGGGTTTTCCCCAAATGTCCTTTAAACAAAAATGTTAAAAAAAAAAGCAGAGAAAAAAAACCCCAAAGTTTTGTACACCTAAACACTGTAACCATATCACGATTTTATTTTTTTTTTTACAATCGCTGTTTTTCCCCCTAAGGCAGGGGGGGCCCGAAAAAGAAAATTTTCATCATTCACCCATCACTGCTTTCCAATGCTGCTTTACATTACAGTTAAATAACGACTTAAAAACCCCCCCGATAGACACGTACTTCCCCGGACTCAAATCGGCCCCTGATTTCCTGAACCCTTCATAAATGTTAGCCTGCTCACACCCAACAGCATGTCAAATCCCAAAAAAACCCTTCGTCCCCATTTAACCCCCTCAAATACGCTCACCATGCTTTCTGGAAGTCCAAGCCCCGCACACAAAACCTCTTTTTTCCCCCCCCCTCCAATTTTCCCAGGTGACCCCCCACCCCCCCCCTTTCCCCCCACTACAGATTTAACCCTCGAAGTCATTCTATTTTTTTCATTTTTCTAATGTCTGTACCCCCTTAAAAACCCCTTCCCCCCGCCCTCGGGTAATATTTTAGTAATCCCGGCCCCCGCTAATTTCCAGATTTCGAAAACTCTGCATTATATTCGCACCAACATTGCCCTTGAACCCTCCCCTGCCTCCACCCTTTCCTTGTTTTCAACATTACCACCCATCTTCACACCATATAAGAGGTGGTATAACTCTTCAAATTCCCCCTTGCTTCCCCGGGCAAGTTCTTTTTTCCCCCAACTCCTAAGTGCCCACCACCCTTTTTTTCTTACACTTCTTATTTACCTCATTCTTCATAAGGGCCCCTCTGTTGATACGTCCCCCCCCCAGATATCCCAATATGTTCACCTCCTCCATATCTACAGATATACTGCAATAAATATTGAAAATTAAAAAGTTAAAAGTACAATTTTTGCCAGTAGATTTTGCCCATAATATTAAAAGTGTTGTATCAGTGTCTTAATTCTATCTGTCCTAGCTGCTTTTTCTCCTTGCATTTTATCCACTTCCTTTTACACTTTTCCTCACATCCACCATAGGCCCCTCTTATAGGATATCCTTCCTACCCATTGCACTGCTCATCACCCATTTTGCATCTTTTTTTTTTCTTCGCCAATCATTCCTCAACCCACCCACACCCACCTCCTTATACACAAACTTTTGCTGTACACTCTTGCACTACATCTTAAATTTTCCCCATACCTCTTGAACCTCCTCACTTCCTGTACTCTCTCTAGCCCACCTTTCTCCCAGTAGTTGCCTTAATTCTTTCTCCCACTTTAGTTCATTCACTGTCACTTCTCCTTGATTACTGATGTCATTCTCCTTGCATTCTTTCAAATATTTTTTTAACACATTGGCCAGGTGTTGTAGTTTGTGCAGTACTAGGAGTTAACATTTAAAGAAAAGCTCATTGTGAAGATTACATTGTTTTATTACATGTGTAGTAAGGAAGGCTAGTATAGTACAGTGTTTCATAAGGTGTAGCACAGTTGGTATACTTTCAAGCTGACAGATTGTATTTCCTTACTGTTGGTTTATTGAGTGTAGTACAGTACATTTGATAAGGAAAGTGAGTCTCCTAGTATTCACTAAATAAGCAAAGTATTTTGTTGGTCATCAAAGTTAAGGTGAACTTTCATATAATGGACAATTCTAAAGTCAAAAGAATGTGAAGCAAATTTACTGAATTTTTTCTTTAAATTGAAGGGTCTTAATTTTTTTTGTAGTACATACTATATACAAGAAAGAATCCTTCATCATGCTATACAGTCGACATGTGAGTATACTCTAAAGTTGTTCCTTGTTTTGTAATGCAAATAGTAATTGAAATATTTTTTAGCTGATTTTTCAATTTTTTTTGTGTACATTGTTTTTTTAAGCAAAATATGCCAACTTAGCTTATTCAATGAGCATTATTTTGCCAAACAAATCATTATACACTATTGATATTTAATATACAACTAAAATAGGCTGACCTTAGATAAGTCAGCCTGGTTTTAGGCTGACCTGTCAAAAAGCTTATCTTATTACTGTATGCTAATTTTAGGAAGACTAGATTAAGTTTATAAATTAGTTTTGGTGAAAATTTTTCATATAATTTATCCACCTCAGTAGTTTCACTTTTAGTCAGCCATCTTCCTTCATCTTTTACAAATGACAAAACTACTTCAACAGCTCATCTGCTCCATCAGTCCATTTCAATTTCTTTACTCATAATTCTTTATATAATATTAGTACCACATGATATCTTCAACATAATATCTCACTGTCTCCAGCGTTGCCTTCACTACAACATTAAAGACCATGTCACACACCCCTAAAAAATTTTTATAATATGAAGTTAATTCGATTTAAAACCTTTTTTTTTTTTTTTTTAGATAACCAGCAAAGTATATTGCTAAAAAGTTCACAAAAAATTTGAAACATTCTGAAAAAAATATTTTATCAACTTTGTTTTCTTGCAGATGTCAAGTCACCAACAGTTACGCGTCCTCGTGGAACAACTGCAGCGAGAAGCTAATATAGACCGCATGAAAACCTCGGAAGCAATCAACCATCTCAAGGTAATAGTGTCCACTGGATTAGGTTTCTAAATCAGTCTCATGGATACAGATACCAATGCTGAAGTTGGGAGGTGCATGCAGGATATACAGATTGGTGTTCTCATTCATCTTTGGTAGTATTTAGCCACTACACAAATTTTGAGAGAATATCTTTGCACATAAGTTTTAAAAGGAAACATTTAGCATTTATAATTGATATATCATACACTAAAATTAAGGCAAAGGGAATAGCAGAGAACCTTTAACTACTTGTCCATTTAATCACCTGAAGTGTTTATCCCTATACAGTACTGTATTTATTGTATTGTTTACTTGTTTCATGCATTGCTGTCATAATCCAACCTCATTTAAAGAGTGAAAGTCACAGTACTGTGGCTGAAATAATTCATAAACTTTGAATTGGAGAGGACACTGGACCATGTTTCAGTTTGTCCTGAACCATTTGAGTAGTGATCCTGGCAATGGTTCTGGATGGATCTAAATGTTGCCCACTTTCGTCTCCAGTTTGCAAGTTTTCTTGGATTATTCCTTTGGAAATTATCAAGCAGTCAGCTGAGTATTGGATAGTTAGGGTTGTCTTCCAGGGAAAAAGGAGTCTGCTTGGTTTTCCTTGCAGTTTAAACTTATCTTAAATCTATTATTTAAAAATTTGCACATAATATTTAGCACAGAAGACTTGAGCATTTATTTCCTCAGTAGGATGCGTTGTGTTAAAAAATACCAGGAATGGGTTAAGAAAGTGTGTGTTGGGTGTGCTTGTGGGTGTGCAAGTACTTGCCTAATGCATGTCTGTAGTGCATGCTTACTTGCCTTATAAGAGCGTCGGTATTATATTGGAACAAAAAGTTTTTTTACTGTAGATTTAGTATAGTTTTTACTCCCTAGAGGAACCATGATACCTAATGCAGTCTACAAAAAAATCCCCAAGCTGCCTTTCTTGGGAAAAAAAAGAAAAAAAATAATCATCAGCTTTACAACCAAACAATACTGGAATTGGGTTCCAAATTTGTACATTGAAATAACCCCTTACAGTCAAAAGGTTTGTTACACGGTGGAAAATATCCCAGTGAAGAGCACGGGAGCAATAAGTATGCTGTACTAAGGGATAATTTGAGCAAAAAGGGGTCCAAGGATTTACAAAATCTTTAAATGTAGAGGGGGACTTTCCAAGAGACCCATCTTCAAGAGGAAAGTTGACAAGTTCCTCTAAATCATTTAATTGACCCCTCTAGCCTACAGCATTGTCACCCATCCTTCAGAATGTAGGCACTGTATTTCCCACCAACTAACCAGTTTCCTTAAACCCCTTCAAAAATGTTACCTTGCCTTGCACTTCATACATACATACATTTTTACTGGATAACTGAAGATATGCAAATGTTTTATGCTTGTGAATATGTATGTATTTTGCAATGGTGCATTTGTTTGGATAATGTTTAGGTAATACCGTACAGGACATTGTTAGCATTGTTTTGTGCCTTTGTATATTGTTTACTTTTTTTTTTTGTGAGAGTATATGTACAGGCATACATTAGGTATACCTGTGTGTACCTGCATGTATTTATATGACACATAAACATTTGTGCATATACTTTAGTCATGCATGCTAGCAATTGAGGAAATATTGTGCCTGATGTTCAAAAGGTGGCTGTGCAGAAATTATTTTAGGAAATACAATGTGTGTGTTTACCAACAAAGCACAAGAGTATTTTGTAATGTACAAAATACTAGACTATATGGACTGTGTATAAGATGAGGTAAGTGATGGTAATTTAAATACTTTCCTGCACAGCGACATTAAAACAATTGGCAGCATAACGAAACACATAAATGTGATTAACTTTGGTTACATAGAAGATATCTGGAGAGATGATCTTGGTTATGTGTGAGCACCGCGCTGATGCCCCTGTGATTATTGCGACAGAGTACATCTCGGAACACGAGCAGAGGACTACCTTCTGGTCGGCTTCACCTCTCAGAAGGCCAACCCATTCCGTGAGAAGAGCTCCTGCACCGTCCTGTAATGTGTAAGCACCTAGACTTGCTACCCAAAACTCACCCATCTTTATACATAATATATAAGATATTTTTTTCTTTTTATGGCATGATTTATTATAAAGGCCAATACAGAATGGATTGACATAAACTCTTCTTATTTTTTTAATTGTTTTAATTTGTACTGCAAAGTTGCACAGTCACTGTTATGGTTATATTGTAGTTGTTTCATCTACCCATGTAGATAGTGATAAGAAAACAGATATTTACTGAGCAGACATCACATGGTGGGTCCTAAGGGGGCTGAGTGTCTACAGTGAGTAGCTTCTGATATATAATATTTTGATTTGTCAGGTCATCAGGAGGTCTTACTGTGATGTTTGATTTTGGATTTTGTAATTGTCAGTTTGTAGCTACAGAATCAGAGGTATGCTTTTGGTGTCCCATCCTAGTAAATAATTCATTATATAATTTCAAATGGTTGTGGCATGTAGTACCTCTTCTTTTAATAATCCATTCCACTGCTTCACCCCTCTAAATAATAACATGAATTTAAAACAGTGGTAAAAAAAAACTCGAAGGAAGGTGAATTATTTTTAGTACAAGATGTTCAATTCTATACCTAATTTTTAAATTTTATAAAGTACATGTACTACTACAGGTCCTCCATCACAATCCGCATCATTGGGACCTGTAGTGTGCTGGATTACCGAGTTTGCCGAATACAGAGTGGTTAGGTTTAGAATACACTTAATAAAATTAACCAACTTAACTTACACAGTTTCATTGAACATCGGCAAAAATCGAACATTACCGCTACTTTGAGCTCAATTCAAGGTACTTTTCGTTATGAAAGCAATCAAAATCATGTCTATTTCTGTAATATATCTTCCATTCTATCAAATGAGTCCAAAAATGAGAATACAACCATAAAACCATATGAAAATATACTGCAAAGAGGCGGCTAATGGCTGAGAAGTGAACTCCCTTATTTATCGTCCGTCTTTTTTATTTTTGTTGTACGTTAAGAAGTATCTTTCCATCATACATTGCCCAAGTTTCAATGAGATAGCCCAACAAACAACTGAGAAAAAAAATATTTACCAAAAATCATATATGGCAATCCCAAGCCAGGTACTGGAAATCAGTCACTTTGTCTGACTTTTCTGGGCTATCCTAGGTTCTCTATACAAACACTGCTATGTATTGATAATCTATGTAACTGTTATTTGTGTATACCTGATTAAACTTATTTACTTCTATCTGTCATCTGAGTACAAAATCCGCCCATTCACTTATTTCAACTACCCAATAAAGTGGTCAGAAATTGGCAATTTGGCCAATTTCATACAAATTTCAACAGATGCCAATTTCAAAATAGGGTCCAGAATAAACAATGCAGACATTCCTGGCACTAAACGTTTTCTCTGTTCATTAGTCACGGCTACAGGCCCCTCTTGTATTACTCTTGCTTACCATTTGGAATTTTTATTCACAAAAAAATAGAAGATTTACTGTTATGCAGACTGCTGCATTATTTTAATAATTGTATAAATAATGTCAATCCATTCTTGACTCCGTACTGGAATTTGGACTGGCAGGCGGACAGGTATTGGACGGTGACGTCATTTGTTTACTCTTGAGCTTCGCTAAAGAATAGAACATTTTCGCTACTGTGAGCACAATTTCAAGGTATTTTCATCATGAAAGCAATCAAAATCATATCTATTTCTGTAATATATCTTTCATTCTATCAAATGAGACTGAAAAAATGAGAATATAACCATAACAACCATACAAAAATATACCGCTAAGCGGCCGCTTATGGCTGAGAAGTGAACTCCGCTATTTATGGCCTGATTTCTTTCATTTTTGGTGTACGTGAAAAAGTATCTTCCATCATATATTGCTCAAGTTTGAATAAGATAACCCAACAAACAACTGAGAAAATAATAATAATAATAATAATAAATATTACTACACATACATGTACAAGGTATACAGGCCTAGCTGACATCAGTGACATACTACTGTATAGAAAGGCACTTGTTTCTTTCTTTCAACACACGCGCCGTATCCCCACCGAGGCGGGGTGCCCAAAAGGAAAAACGAAAGTTTCTCCTTTTACATTTAGTAATATATACAGGAGAAGAGGTTACTAGCCCCTTGCTCCCGCATTTTAGTCGCCTCTTACAACACGCATGGCTTACGGAGGAAGAATTCTGTTCCACTTCCCCAGTGAGGTAAGAGGAAATAAACAAGATCAAGAACTAGAAAGAAAATAGAAGAAAACCCAAAGGGGTGTGTATATATATGCTTGTACATGTATGTGTAGTGTGACCTAAGTGTAAGTAGAAGTAGCAAGACGTACCTGAAATCTTGCATATGTATGAGACAGAAAAAAAAGACACCAGCAATCCTACCATCGTGTAAAACAATTACAGGCTTCAGTTTTACACTCGCCTGGCAGGACGGTAGTACCTCCCTGGGCGGTTGCTGTCTACCAACCTACTACCTAGAAAAGGCACTTGTTTTGCTGAGTATTTCAAGAAAATTTGGTCAGTGTCCCAGGATAACACCCACACTAGTCGACTAACACCCAGGTACCCATTTACTGATGGGTAAACATAGACAACAGGTGTAAAGAAACACGCCTAATGTTTCTACCCTGGCTGGGAATCGAATATTTACCAAAAATCATATATGGCTAACCCAAGCCAGGTGCTAAAAATAAGCCACGTTGACTTTTTTGGGGTTATCCTAGATTCTCTACACATATGCTGCTATGTGTGATAATCTATAGAGAGGAAATAACTTTTTTGTTTCATGTTTATGGTGGAGTACGAGTGTATATCATAGCCCTGTGCTATACTCCGTTTTCTCTAATATAAGCCACCAAGACAAGGATAGGAGAATGGTATTTGTTTACCATATCCTCTTCATAACTCTGTCGAACTGCTCGGTGTTATACCAAATATTATTCATTCTGGAGTATTTAACATGTTTTATGTTATTTATATTGTTTCTTATGTCATATTAGATCAATTGTGATAGGCAAATAAGCTGTAGTGTTGATATTAGCGTAATAATAAAGCATATTCTCCTGCTTCATGAGACTGAGCTCATGGCAACCGACAGTGGCTTCAAAGCCACCTTATCTTTAATGGATAATGTACTGTGTAGGTGCTTTACATAATGAGAAGCATTTCTTTTATTCATTGGAACCATGGCTAGGGCTAAAAGTAAGCAGGTTAACCCTTTCAGGGTCCGTCCCGTAGATCTATGGCTTCACGTTGAGTGTCCAAACCGTAGATCTATGCCAAAATTCTAGCGCCGTCAAATTTAGCGCAAAAGCGCTCATAGGTCTACATGTGAGAGAACGGGTCTGCGTGGTGGGTGTGTGCCATAAACAAAAAATCTAGGCGCCCGCATAGCATTGTGGGAACGCCGGCTCAGTTACCCTTGTTCACCATGCCTCGTCGCAAGTCAGCTCTCACTCCCCGGAAAATTGGGACTCTCCTCATCCTATCTGATAGTTCTGACACTGATGGAAGTGGAAATGAAGACAAATTCTATGGCTTTGATCAGTTAGTGACCGAAAGGAATGACCAGGATATCGATAATAGTGCAGAAAACCCTGACGATCCTCAACCTTCTACCTCTGGTGTGGGCACTCGTGACTCACGGTCGGTTGTACCTCAACGCAAGAGAAAACTAATATTTTCGCGTGGCCAGGCCTCTGACTTCAGTAATGATGATGATAGTGACGTGGATTGTGATTTTATTGCGCTTGACGATCATTCGAGTAGTGATAGTGAGGAATCATATTCACCAGTGAAGCATCGGTATGTGTGCCGCCGCATGCGCTCGGGTAGTGTACCCTATGCTGTGCCCAGGGGACGGAGTACATCCCGTGGCTCTACACCAGGTTTAGATAGTGAGAGTGAGGATGATGTGGCTACACTTGGCATGTATAGACCACAGGCATCAGTAGATGGTGGTAGTGGTGATGGTAGTGGCACCGCCATGCATGACTCACCAGCCCAGGCTGGGACCCACGCTGCTGACTCAGTTCATGGACAAAGCGGAGCGTCAGCCACTAGCCCACCACAACCACAACCACCCGCACAACCAGCCTATGATGTCCAGTATCCACCAGCAAACCGTATCTGGGATTGGCAGCAAAATCCCAATTTTGTTCCCAAGTCCCACCACTTTGATGACTCTCAAAATGGAATTCTACCTACTTGTCCCCTTGGAACCACGGCCAATGAACTGGAATTCTTTGAATTATTCTTTGACCAGCCATTGATGGAAACTATTGTCAGGGAAAGTAATAAGTATTTTGAGTACACCATGGCAAATACGATCATATCACCACAGTCAAGACTACACAGGTGGAAAGAGACGACTGTTGCAGAAATGTATTTGCTTTTTGCAACAATAATGCTTATGCCTCATGTCTATAAGCATAATATAAAAGCATACTGGTCCACAGATCGGCTAATTTCTACCCTGGTCTTCAGTGAAATCATCCCAGTGAACAGGTTTATCTTACTGTTACGTATGTTGCACTTCTCTGACAAAACCAGGCCTGACAGAAGTGACAGGTTATACAAGATTAGAAATGTTTTCATGTGTCTCAAACAAAAGTTCAGCATATACTTTTATCCATTCAAGAATCTTGTAATTGACAAGTCTTTGATTTTGTTCAAAGGTAGACTGTCATTCAAGCAGTATATACCGAGCAAGAGGAAACGCTTTGGTATAAAACTGTGTACTCTGACTTTGACAGTGGCCTGGTGTTGGGTATTGTTGTATACACGGGAAGTAAAACATTGAAAGATACCAAGATGTTATTGGGTATCTCAGGTGACGTAGTGAGTAACATGATGGCACCTTATCTTGGTAAGGGGCATACATTATATACT